TGACTGGGGCGTCGGTATGTTATCTCCAACCCTGAGAGCTGCTGATGGCGGAGAAATATTCGCATCCCGCACTAGCGCCTGTTCAATTTCGTTTGCTCTGAGTTCATTAAGGATGTTGGCTGTTTGGCCCTGTCGCCCCTTTTTCTGTCGCTGCAAAGACGTCCGACAGACTAGGCCGGCAGCCCGACACTGCTCACAAGGTTTTGGGAAAATACATTTGACCTTACGGCGGCGACATGCATCACATGCTTGTTTGACAGGTGGGTCTGGCATCTGGAAAGTCAAGTCTAAATATACCGAGAGCTAGCACAACGCAAAATTCCGGGGTTGCGGGGGGAAGTCGGGAAGAAGCCGGAAGGAATGGAATTTGGTGGCCTTATTTGCCAGGCCTCAACATCATGTTCTGGCCCCCAAATATTGTCGACCCTGAATCCAGTGTGGCTATTTCTATTTAATAGTGGAAACCACCTCTTTAAGGGCTTTGTATTTTTTTTTTATAAAATGAGAAGAAAATTCCAGACGCTCAGCCAAATCCTTTGGGAGGATCCTAATGGGCTATAATCTGTGCATTGCTAAGAAACTACTGGCATGAACTACTGGCATGAGGAAATATTGTGGCTAGCTGCAAGATCAGGTCCTATATAGAATATCATCATAGAAAGTTACATTTCAATAAATACCCATAGTAATTCATGTATTACTGATTGGTATTTCATGGGATATATCTCAAATGTAGACGCGTCCTTCGAAGGGCTTCAGGGTTTCCAGCGATGAATCGGAATAGTTGCCTACAAGCAACTTCATGCCCGCGGTTTTCTCAGCCTGTGTGAATGGCTGGGGCCTTTCAGTGAAGTTCAAAATGACCAATGCTCGTTCATCATCTCTCGACTTCACAAAGCAAAACGTCTCTTGATTCTCGTAGTCAAGCACTTCAAATGCACCGTGGATAAACAACTCCCGGTGCTCTTTCCTTAGACGCAGAACATCTTTCCAGAAAGACAACACACTGGATGTATCATTCTGCTGCTTCTTGACATTAATCTCACCATAAAGATCATGAGCTCGCATCCACGGTTTCCCGGTAGTAAACCCAGCATGTTCCGAGTCATCCCACTGCATCGGCAGCCTGGAATGATCGCGAGCCAGAATTCGGAGACCATTCATAATGTGTTCTTTACGAGTAGGATCGGCTCCACTCGCACTGCATTGCTCTGCTTCTCGGTAATATCCTAATCCTTCAATGTCCTTGTATTCCTCAATGGGCCACTCGCGCGGTGCATTGATCATACCAATCTCCTGTCCCTGATAGATGAACAGAGTCCCCGTCATGGTAACCATCATCAGAGCCAGCATTTTGGCAGAGATCTCCCGGAACTCAGGTGCATCCGATCCAAACCGCGAGACAGACCGTCCATTGTCGTGATTTTCACAGAAAGCGGTGGTCCAGCCATCCGTTCCCTCAATGAAAGTCTGCCACTTCTCCACAATTGATTTCATCTTTGTCAACTTCCACGGCGTAAAAATGTACTTCTCCTCCAAGCTAGGTCCCATGCCAATATGGCCAATATCCAAGTGGAAGACCATGCTCAGCTCCTTGGCTGATGCTCCCACATATTCGAGGACATTCTTAGGATCGGGTGTATTGGCCAGTTCGCCCACAGTCATGACATCCCCGTACGGAGCAAATGATTCATCATACATTTCGCGCAGGAACTCATGAATGCGGGGGCCGTTGCACCACATTCCAATGGCGGGCTGGATGTAACTTTTCGGATCTGTGATGGGGGCGTCTGGGAAGTTTGTGTGCTTGCTGTACTTGTTCACTGTGTCCACTCGGAAACCGTCGACACCTTTGTCTAGCCAAAATCGAACCGCGCTGTTGTAGATAGCCTCACGCGTGGCCTTGTTATCCCAGTTGAGATCGGGTTGTTCTTTGGCGTAGAGGTGCAGGTAATATTCTTCTGTTTTCTCGTCCCAGGTCCCTACGTAAAAGCTTTGTTAGTTCAAAGATATCTAGTATTGTCGAATATTTTAACTCACATGTGCTTCCTGCAAAGTAACCGCGATAATTACTTGGAGGCATCCGATTCCCCGCCTCATCATATCGAGGAGGACGCCAGAAGTACCAATCGCGCTTGTCATTGTCCTTGCTACTCCGACTTTCCTGGAACCAAGCATGCTGATCACTAGAGTGATTGACGACTAGATCTAGGATCAATTTCATGCCTCGCGAGTGACAAGCTTCCACAAGGTTCTCCACGTCTTGAACGGTTCCATAAGCAGGAAGCACATTTTCGTAGTCGGATATGTCATAGCCCATATCGTGCATGGGCGAGTCATACATCGGCGATAGCCACACGACATCAACTCCTAACGACTGGAGGTAATCGACCTTTTTAACAACACCGGGGATATCGCCCCAGCCATCACCGTTGGAATCATAGAAAGAAGCCGGGTATACCTTTCAACTCGAGAAGACAACGTCAATTTTATGTTTTCGGGAATGCCTAAATGTTGTGGTGACTAACCTGGTAGACAGTGGCTTCTTTCCACCAGTTATTGGTCCCCGTAGGAACGGCTGTGGTGTCCTGCGTCGCGTGTGGTGACATAGTGGCTTGACAACTTTATTCTCCAACCCAACACCCCTCTTATATCTTTTCATTATACCTCGGCACCAACTCGGCCTGGGCAAACGCGGGGGTATCTTCAGGAACCCTGCATACCCGCCAAGCCTCCGACGGGATGCTGCATCTCCGACTAACGACCGACTTGCCACCGAATGAGTCCTTTCCGGGACGATGATTGGATACGGTTGGGCCTCCACACTTCGGCTTCCCCAGTTTTCTCCAAATCCTCGGAAGCGAGCAACAGACCATGTGCACTTTCCCCGGATCAGCGATGCGCGTGAGCTGAACTATGTACATTCTTTTTCTTTGGGGAGTTCTGTATAAATGACGCATCGCCCCGTGGTCCATCGGCTTTGATAATGCCTGAAGTATCGGGATATTACCAGCCTTTGACTCTTACCAGGCCTTGACAAAAGCACCTATTGTTCCAAACCCCTTGTTTAGCGTGCAGTATCCAACGGGCCCGCCCAGATTCGAAATCACAGCACAGTTTTTCAATGGTCTCGATGGACGACGCATCCGCAAGAATGGACGGTAAGGTCTCCCCCGTCCTTGCAGAGGGCCGACAAGCAGCCAGGAAGGAGCAGTCCATGACCCTATGGCAGGCTCTGCGGCTATACCCGAAAGCTGTCGGCTGGTCAGTCCTACTTTCGTCTACTCTGGTCATGGAAGGGTACGACCTTGCGTTGCTGAGTTCAATGTACGCATCACCTGCATTCAACCAAAAGTTCGGAGAACAGACTGCTTCGGGGAAATGGGCTGTTCCAGCATCCTGGCAATCCGGTCTTTCCAATGGTGCACGCTGCGGTGAAATCATTGGACTTCTCATCAATGGTTTGGTCTCTGAACGCCTGGGGTATCGCAAGACCATGGTCTGTGCGTTGGCCACCATCACAGCGGTCATTTTTCTGTTTTTCTTCGCGGTCAACGTTCAGATGTTGCTAGCTGCCGAGATTCTGGCCGGTATCCCTTGGGGTATCTTCCAGACCTTGCCAGCCGCCTACGCTTCCGAAGTTTGTCCGGTAGTCCTTCGACCTTACCTGACAACTTTCATCAACATGTGCTGGGTGTTTGGACAGTTTGTGGCCATTGGTGTCAACCGTGGCTCCATTTCTCGCGATGACCAATGGGCCTGGCGCATTCCTTTTGGTGTGCAATGGGTGTGGCCAATCCCAATCATGATCGGTTGCCTTTTCGCACCTGAGTCCCCTTGGTGGCATGTGCGCCAGGGTAATGTGGAAGGAGCTCGACGAGCGTTGCAGCGGTTGACGTCACCCAATGACCCCAGCTTTGACCCGGAAGAGACGATTGCTATGATTCAACACACCAACGAGTTGGAGAAATCGCTTTCTAGTGGAACCACGTATTGGGATTGTTTCAAGGGAACAAATATTCGCCGTACTGAGGTAGTTTGTCTTGTCTGGTTAGTCCAGACGCTATGTGGCCAGAACCTGATGGGTTATTTTGCCTACTTCTGTGTTCAAGCGGGCCTACCCACCGTTCAATCGTTCAATTTGTCCCTGGGACAATACGGCCTCGGCGTTTTGGGTACAATAGGATCATGGTTCCTGATGTCCTATGCGGGCCGACGAACTATCCATATCACCGGTCTCACCAGTCTTTTCGTTCTTCTGGTAATCACAGGATCTCTATCCTTTGCCCCAGGAGACAACAATGCAGCCAAATGGGCAATCGGCGTGATGCTCATCATTTTCACATTCTGCTATGACATCAGTGTCGGCCCTGTCACATACTCGCTCGTCTCAGAACTATCCTCAACCCGTCTCAAGGCTAAGACTATTGTCCTCGCCCGCTGTCTATACAACATCAGTAACATTGTCGTCAACGTTCTCACCAACTACCAGCTCAACTCCACAGCCTGGAACTGGGGTGCTCGGTGTGCCTATTTCTGGGCTGGCACGTGTCTAGCCTCCCTGGTCTGGGCATTCTTCCGGCTTCCCGAGCCGAAGGGCCGCACATATGAGGAACTGGATTTGCTCTTTGAGCGCGGAGTTTCAGCAAGGAAATTCGCGACTACTGTCGTTGATCCATATGAGGGAGAGGCGGCGGAGGTGCACGAGGCACATGCAGATAAAGATTGATAGTTCAGCGATGTCCCTTCATGTCCATCTTACTTAGGATATAATCATGATAAATACCCACCAGATAACGAAATTGAACCTTTGGATTGACTTTTTTCATCCGTCTTATGCCACTTCAAACTTGAGAATCCAAAACAGACTGCAAGTCGCACAATACTCATTTCATAATCAGAACTAGGTAACGTGAATAATAATTTCAATGATATTTACGTGGGTAAGCTGATAAAAGCACGCCACGAGCCGGAGTCAGTTAGGCTAGCAGAGTTCTTATTTAATGCTCACATAGACGGAAATCACCAGTCTCAAAGTTCTCATTATATTTTCCCGATCTGTACCCACGCTCTTTCATGAGCTCCAATCGGTACTCTTTGGCCTTCTCCATGGTCATCATAGGCTCCAAGTCATTTTGAACGATATTCTGCAGCTCCACTGGCAGACATGCCAAGGCCTGATTCACAGCATTCTGTCTCTCGTGGCCCCAGTCCTCTTGCTGCGGAGGTACATTTGCCGAGGAGATAATCCGACGATGGGGATCAACTAAGAATAGCGCGAGAATCTTACGATGACCGGGCTTAGACGGGTCGACTAGCGAGAATGGGGAAACACAATGCTGGACGGTGTTTGGGAAGGTGAGTAGCCGACCTTCTTTGCAAGCGACAGCCCCAAGGTCTTGTGTGATATCACGATTGGTCCCGCTGCCGTCGATATCATCGCCAAAACCAAAGACATCTTGTAAGAATTTGAACTGCCCTTGGGAGTATGAAATCTCTAGCATGTCCATCATACCACGTTGACGAAATGCCAAGGTGTTATCAGTTATATTTTCACTGTCATAGTAGTAGATTGCGGTGGCGCAGATGCGCTCGTTCTGTTCAAAGTTAGAATATACAGTTAACCAAAGGTTTCAAAACTCTTACCAACTGTCCCTCAATGTGCCAAGAGCCTCCTTCGTACTCAGGGTTGTCCTGGCTCAACTCAATGTTCGCCAGCTTCACGATGATCTGCAACTTCTTGTCGGGAAATTGCTCGCGTAGATCAGCACTATATGTTTCATTTCGAGGTTCAAAGCTGGCTGGCTCAGGAGGAATAATAGGATGGGTACTCTCCCACTCCTCATAGAGTTCCCAGAACGCATCTGTGTCGTAACCATCCCCCTCCGGCTGAACAGGCTTAGGGTCTGGATGCTCACCATATTCGACCTTGCTGTACTCGATTCTTGGAGTGATGAATTTGGACAGGCTGCGGTTCCAGAGTGGGATTGCCCGAGCGATAATTTGCTCAACGACCTCATAGAGAGGCTTATGATGAATAGGGTGGGCGTTATTGATGTATGACACGATTCGACAGCTGGCATCATCGCCGAGTTCAACATCGCACGGGAGCCATTGGAACTTGTCGCTGAAGACACGGACTTGCTCATCGGTGTCATAGTCATTGGAGCCATAGTCAGGTTGGCTATAGAAAAGTGGGCCACAATTTTCACTCAAAGGAACAGGGACAAGATCCCCTTGTCCCACGCTTCCTATGCAGTCATCAAGGCCAATGACTCGGTCCGGAAGCACGCGAGTTTTGCCGTAGATCACGGGAAACAGTGAGGGATGTACTAGATCAACTACTTTGTTATCAGACCCGGGGTGATAATCTTTCTCCGGCATATCCTCGAGAGGTTTTACTGCCTCTTTCAGTGATTGTTGTATCTCTTTCGACACAGCAGTGTCAGACTTTATCACGCCCACATCAAAGACGCGGACGTAACCCGTCTCTTTAAGAATGTTGGCTTTCCATTGAAGCTCCTTTATGATCCAGTCCATCACCGTGGGAGTCACATCTTGACCACTTTGGGCAATCTCGTTGCGCCATTTTGTCGTGATATCATCATCAAAGACCTATAGGAGGTTAGAAACAAACATTGAAGCTGACAGATATACCAGTCCAAGCACACCTTCTGATCCCATTGGGGCTTATCGGTAATGGTGTTCATCACTCGCATCATCAAAACTTCTCGATGAGTCACTAAGTCGCTGAAAATCAAGGTCAGCTCGAGATCCCGGCCGTAGTACAATTGACACATACTCGAAGCAGTCTTTTTCGATTGCATTATCATCCAATGCATTAGGAAAGCCGTAATCGCCGGGATACACCACATTTCGCTGGTTTGTTAGCAAATGGCATGTGTAGAAAGAAGATACAGATTCTCACATCGGGCTTGCAGTCCAACTTCACATTGAACCCTGGCATTCGAAGCTGCGGATTGGAAATTGAAGACATATTGACGTACAACACTAGGATACTAATAGTCAATCATTCCTGTCCATGGGAGGTTTTTGTACTCCCGCGGTCTTGGCGGAGTCCAGGCAGAAACGGGTTAGTTCCAGGCAGATAAGGCGCTAAGTCCGCTTTGGGCGGAGCTGCCTGGAAATTGGTATAGGCAGCCGAGGCTCCAAACCATGAATGTTTTAGGATTTTCTTTCAAATAAATTGCGAACGATATTTATACTCGATTCCGGGGATAGACTTGTGTGGTCAGAAAAGGCAACATCAGGTGTGATAGTGGTGCTTGCAGAAAGTATCTTAGAAGTAATACCCATCACAATCCGTCATATATATAGCGAGGAAAATACGCTTCCTTCGATTTTAGTTTCAATTTCCTTGGTCATATTCGTTTTCGCTTGTTCATTCTCGGATAGGTATTCCTCGGGACTAACAAGAACGATCCAGCAAAATTAGGTGCTCGCTACCAATCTATTAGGCAAGTAATGATGGGTTAATCATGATCTGAGATCTCAATATTCAGGATTCCCACAAAAGGGGTGAACAGAACCGGAGCAGCGGCTTCCTTTGCTAGCAACTGTTCTCTCGAAAGCTTTCTATGCCCCACATGAATAGACTTATCACCCCACTGTATCACTAAACTGAATAATCGCATACCATAATTCGGTATTTATCTATCTATTATACTTGATAGCTTCTAACAGCTGTATCGATTGTCGGACAGCTACCCTGGCTGTATTGATGGATTGCCTGCCATCTCACCAATGATGAGGATATCATAATAAGAATAGGAGATTAGTATCCCAAACAAAGCTAGGCTCTTCCACACTTAGTTTTATTACATGAAAGTACTTGTTGATATTGTAAATTTGACTTGTTTCTATATCTTCAACACTCCATATTCCTTCACTTCTTCGGCTCCAATGGGGAGATCTATGGAACAATAAAAGCTTATAGGTGATTACTACTTCGAGAGTGGGAAAAAATTGAAAGATTTGATAAAATCTATCTATAATATCCACACACAGACTGACCCAAGAACCCAGAAAGACCGCTCAAGATCCCAGACAATAGGAAGGTCATTGTACAAGTGAAGTGCTGCAGCCCGCGGGCCGACCCGTCGAGCCCCAACTTTAAATCCCACCACGAAATTTTCGCAGAGCAACCCCACTTCCTGTGCGGTCTTCAACCTGCGTCTCCAGAAAGCAATTGGCCGAGAACGATACCGAATATTAAAAAAAAAGATGGCGCCCATCAACCTTTCACACAGGCGGACACACAATTTGCTCCTGATTTCAAAACTCCTGAGCTTGCGTGACACTGCATCGCCCCTCACACTTGTGTTGGATTCCTTGGAGCAGCCAGCTACGCCACTCCTGAAAGAATATATTAGACGTGCAAAGGTATATTGACCTATGGTCTTACCATAAGCGACACCTGAGTTGCTATTCACGCGGATGAACAGCCATGCTGACTAGTTCGACAGCTGTCCAAAGTCCATGTCACGCTCATCGCTTTCGAAACCCTGAAGCAACCCGATGGAGTCGATGCTTTTGTGTCAACACGCCGCAAGAGCCCTGCCGATATAGTTAAAGAAGTGAGCGCAGCTTATCAGTCTGTTGCAGCTTCCAACCCCTCACGCAGTAAGCATTGTGCATTTACCCCGCCAGTGAATTTATACTCACTGCCTTTATAGGGCGTCTTATTCTCATTGATTCAATTAACCCTCTCCTTAACTCAAAAAGAGTTGACCCTGGGTTCCACCTGCCATCCTTCCTTGGCTCGTTTATTGCTCCCTCGTCGCCATCGGCTAAGGTTGATGCATCACTCGTGGTGACATATCATCAAGATGTCCCCGAACTTCCACAGCAAAACCCCTATTCACCATCACCTATTTCTGTATTGACATACCTTGCTACGAGTATCATCACACTCCATTCATTCTCGCATGTCCTAGCACAGAAGGCAGCTCGCGACCGCAGTCTGGCCCCTCCAGTATTCGGGCTTGAGGAAGAGCAAGAAGGGGTTCTCCTCGGCCGATTGGACAGATTGACCGGCACTGGCAAAGCTGAGGGGATTGTCATTGAGTTGGAGCACAGGAGGAAGAGTGGTCGCGGTGTACTGGAATGGTACCTCCTCCCGCCTGCGTCGCGGTATTCGCCCCAGCATCTGAAAGAGATTGTGACATTGCTTGACGATAATGTTTTGTACAACCCTCCCATGGAGCAGGATCCAGGCGCCGGCGATGAGGAACCGACATCAACCTTCGAGCTGGGTCTCACTGACCGACAGAGGCGCGAAAGAGAAGGTGTTGTATTGCCATACTTTGATGCACAGCATAACGATGGCCCCGGCGAAGGAGGCCGAATTCTTTACGACATGGGAGAAGAAGACGATTTCGACGAAGAAGAGGATGAGATTTAGGCATCATCAAATACGATACATGTTCACACGCAGTTCTCCTTATTCTAGAATCGGCGGATTGTAACCCGCAATCACCGAGGTATTAACTATGCGTACATTCATACAGTGAGGCCTAGGGACATGGCCACGGAGAGCAAGGAATTAGAAGAATCGCCAGAAAAGAAGAATGCAAATGACAAGCCCGACGCCAGCGAAAGGTCCGTACTGTGAGATGGTTAGCCAATCGGTCAGGGGAGGTCTAGCGCAAAGTATAGACCCACCTGCTTCAGCAGCAATTCCCAGTTGATGCGTACAGCCGCCTTTCTATACTTCTTGCTGTCCTCACGCAGTCGCCCCGACAGTTCGCCCATCCGCTCCAAGCTATCGCCTCGGTACAAGAGGTCCTCGATGTTCTTGGTCATCACCTTGGTGACATCACGGAGCTCATCGTTCAGCTTGTCGAGGTTCTGAGTTGCGCGACTGTCTTGGTACAGCTTCTTTGTGCGCTGAATAAAGGTATCAAACTCGACAAAAGCATACGGACGGAGGGTGGGTGAGAGATATTGTGAGGAAGTATAGGTAGTCGTGAATTCGGAGGCCAGATCAGCGAGATAGGTGAATGCGAGCTTGCGGGGGTAGGATTTGTCGCAAATGCAAAGGAAACAGATATCATCTTGGATTGTGTAGCTGCAAGCCATGTGAGAAATTGCCCATTGATAATGTTTGTGTCTGGTAGGTGTAACTTACTGTAGACTGTATTGGCCAGACTCAATACTGGCTTGGGGTGCGGAATTGCGATTCAAGCGCCGAAATATCATTTTAGCCTGGCCCTTAATCTCAGAGAGCTCTGATTCAGCCTATAGAGGTGTAAGCTCACGACCGGCTTAAATAATCGTTGTCACGTACCTGCTCATCGTCGACCGAAGCGGCCAGCATAAGGCCTAATTCACTTTAACATCAGCACTCCACCTCCTCACAACGTCCCCAGATAGTTCCTCACCATCGAGCCTTGCAATCTGCGTGGACCTGACCATCCTGAAAACGTTGCTTTCTTGTTCTGAAGGACAGCGCTCTCTCCTTTGTTTTGCCGTGAGAATGGCTCCGAGGAAGAGACGCACGAAGGCGGTAGCGAAGCCCCGTGCGGCAGAACCACGACGTTCGGGGTAAGCTCCGCATTTGCTTCTTGACTTTCTATTTACTGACGTCTTATAATAATGTCCTAGTCGTGTTGCTGCGAGTTCTGCCAATGTAGCAGAACAGTCGGGTCTCGCCATGTCGACCCTGAAATCCGAAACGAGCTCACGAGCTAGAACCCCAAGAAGGCCTGCTGCCAGAGGGAAATGGAGCGAGGAGCAGCTATTGACGAGTGACAAGTCCCTCCTCATTGACTTGGACCTAGTGGTATGAACCAATCCTTCCCAAATGCGATACCATATTATCCAAGCTAACAATAAGCTCAAAACGTCTAGAAACTGTTGGCGCGACCTGAAGCATGGGATTCCCTTGAGGAAAGCGATAAGCGTGAAATCCTCGCTCTACTCCCCCCAGATGTTCACCCAGAGGCATACGCTATATCAGATGACCCGGATGCAAAAATAAAACCCATCCCCGACTCCTTTATCCGCTATTCAAACAACTGGCGCGACGGCGTTCGACAGTTCCAGCTCGACCTCCAAAACGGCCGCTACGACCCCGAATGGCTACGCCAGGCGCAGGAAGCCAGGGAGCAGCGTGAAAATGGCGAATTTGATGACTTTAAAGAGCGTGAATATGAGCAGTTCTGGGGGCAGAAGCAGAAGGTCGTCTGGAATGCCGCTGCTGGAGAAAGTGCACGCGTGAAGATGGGGACTCTTATCAATGAAGGTGTCATCCAGCTGGGCGACATCTGGAAATTTTACTATGTTTACGGTAGAGGGCCCGGAAGAATCGTCATCGAAAAGGAAGTCAAGGTATTTAAAGATCTATCCACTCCGCATACAGCTTCGCCATTTACTGACAGCTATAGGTTCTTGACCGTGATGGGGTGAAATTGACTTTTGCAATTCCGCCTGGTGAACGAGTCTTTCTTCGAAGCAATTTCGACAAAGGAGAGCCCGTCTCGGTACCAGAGAAGGGAAAGGAAGATGTGAAAGTCGATTTCGACACACAGCCAGAGCCAGTGACATCATCCTGGAATGATAAACAGTTGAAATATGAGGACCCAGAATCACAGCTCACCGATGCAACCTCCGGTGGCGATGAGATGAAGCTTGATACCGATCAAGCGCCACAGGATACCCCTGCTTCTTCCAATGTCGACGAAATGAAGCTTGACAATGAACAAGCGCCACATGAGATTTCTACATCTTATACTGATGACATGAGTACCGACACCGTCACACAGCCAGTCATTCCACCTTCAAATGACGAAGCAACCAAACAAGAACCCCCATTCAGCGTTATTATTGTCAGCCCCGGCGGTACGCGAAATCAAAAACCTAAGCGCAAAATTCCTGAGCCCAAACCCCAGCCCCCAGTGAAGCGCAAGCGAGGACGGCCACCTAAGAATCCACCAAAGCAACCTGAACCAGAGCCACCCCAAGAACCGGAGGTGTCTCGGGGAATAGAAGTGTCCCAGCGCGATGAACAGAGCCCAACTGCTCCCGATTCCTTCATGGACATTGTGGCTGCACAGATTGAAGAAAACTGCAAAGCTGCTGGAGCATCCTCCAACCCAAAGCCCTCGCAGCCAGAATCCCCTTTGTCTGTGCTTTCTTCACCCCCTGAGCCGCTAGAGCTCTTTGGGCCAGAGTTATCTGCGTCAGTAGAGGAGTCATCCATTGCCAATACTAACGGCAAAAGTGATAAAGCAGAATTTTCGGAATTTTCCAAAGCTCAGCTCGATACACCTGGGTACAGCGTTGAGGCTCCCGTTGAGTCACTCATTGAGCCACCCGTCGAGGCTGAGCAGGACAAAATCACTAAACCCCCAAGTACTGAACCACAGAACGATCTAGTCCCAACGCCATCTCAAGCTACTGTCAGTGAACCGGATGAGATCATTGTTTCCAACGTTTCCTCGCCACAAGCACTCGTCCATAAGATTCTACAAATCGATGGCCGCATGCCGAACGGCCGTACAGCGAATGCCTGGAAGGAAATCCGTTGCTACCGAAATAACCAGGACATGGGCAGCCTCTTTGATGTGCGAGAGGCTTGGTTCTTACAGCAAGGACAACTTGAGTAGCTTCCTTCCACGCCTTCAACTTCTAGCATAAAAACAGCGATACACCATACCATTTGATTTTCGCCTACACTACCCTTGATACCATGTTAAGATCACAGTTGAAAACGGTCCATGCGTGACCAAGTTGGCTAGCTTACAATGGACAATTGAACCCCAGATATCCTACAGATAAAGTATCAAATAGGGTTCTAGCATGAATGCAAGGAAATGTAGTCTGGTCATACTCGCAAACGGACTGTATCTGAACTCCCAAAATTCCATGGTCAACCGAAGGAGGATCCCAGTGTTTAGTGCGTCTTACTGGACGAGAGAAGTACCACCTTTTCTTAAAGCTTTATTTTGCCTACACAAATCTTCTATGTTCCTGTTTTGTCGTAATTGAGGTAAATTAAATCATATACGTAGACCCTATATCGAAACACCCATGCATTGTTTCTGGGATACTCGACTAAGATTGTGATTACAAGTTACATCCTCGCTGTCCATAATTCATGACATGGTGCTTTACAAAATGGGAGGTACCATAACAGCCAACCTCATCCATGAATCCAAATTCACTGACAACGACCCGGCCATCTAAAGGAGTTGGCTGATATCGGTGTACCTCTACCCATAGCGGGCAACAGGTACTAGATTGGTGACGGAGTTGCATAAATTTAGAAATTTAGACACTCGGGTGAGACTCCGATTTTCATACTAAACCCTCGGGCCCACCTGGGCACCATCGAATAGGGATTACTAGGTGAAACATGAAGACCAAGAGAAACCACGAAACATACGGAATACAGAGTAGACTCTTGTGGGGTGGACTGATATACAAGTTGACAGATAGGTATAATTCGAATATTACATAGTTATCAAAACCTCGAGCTCGTTTAGTAGAGGGAGATATATATAGTTGCTGGTACTCCACACTACGGCCCTTCATTCGTTCCGGAAATAGCGGGCATAGGATCCGAATCCGCAGCAACATCAACAGCAAAGCTGGCCTGTATAAAGTCTTCAAGCTCTTCACTCACAGTCTTGAGCTTCTCCTTGACACTCGCAACACCTTCTTGTCCAACAATGTGTCGTGAAGGAGGGTTTTCATGGCCACCAATTGATGTAATGGCATAGACTGTTTCAGAGACTAGCACTTCCAGATGTGCCGAGCTTAACGGTGGGTGCATGGAAACAACCTCTGGAGCGGAGAATGGACCGTTTTCAATGGAGCTGACACGGGCGTTTTCATCGTTTGCTCGACTGGGTGTGACTGGGCTGTCAGATGAGACAGATGCGTCGGGAAGTTGGGGGACAAGATGGTTTAGGATCCCGCGGAACAGAGGTGCTTGATTGTTGGCCGGTGAATAGGCCGGGAAGATTGGAGGGGCACTGGTTACTAAGTTGGCGAGGATGCCAATTTCGATGCTGCATTGGAAGATGGTGAGTTTGACGTTGAATGGGGCAATTTCATAAGCCAGGCTCTGAAAAGCTCGTTAGTTTCTGCAATGGGAATCATTTAATCAAATGCGCATAAAAAGACTAACATCACAGAATCCTTCAAGGGCCCAGCCTGCTGCGCAGTACATTCCTAGTCCAGGTGTACCGATATGCGCCGCTGTATATCGTTAGACAAGTATTCAAGCACCGGGTGAGATATCTTTCTTACTGATCCCTGATATTATCATCACATGCCCTGCTCGCTCCTTTCTCATATGGGGGAGCGTGGCCTTGATGATATTGAGGGGGCCGAAATAGTTAACCTCGAATTGATCGCGCACGAGATTCATAGTTTGAGTAGAAGCGGAAAGTTCCTCAACTGTCCCAATAAGGGCTTGGGAGAAGGTCAGTGTATTGTTCAAGGGCAAGTCCAACAAGGGCGGGTCACCTTGACTTGTACAGCATAGAAGTATGTCTACTCTTCCGAATGTTGCGACTGCATCTGCCACAACTGCCTGGCACTGCCCCATCATTCTGTCTCGGAAAACAGTCAGCCATTATGATCAAGATTCATGATTAATCTCGACAGCCTAGATGTAGCGCACCGGATATCTAGCGGAACTGTCTTCATGCGCTGTGCCCAGCCTTCACCGTGGTGCTCCACTTCGGCGAGAAAAGCGTCAAATTCATCACGGCGACGTTCATCGCGTTCCAAAGCTGAATGTGCCAGCCCAAGAAATGCGTAATCTCCATGCGCAAGGACCTGCCGCGCGACTGAGAGGCCAATAGGCGAATCCCCCGCGGTGATCAGCCATACTCGAGGCTCATTATGCGACGGAAATTGCGCGCGGGCATCAAAAGGGGAGTTATTTTCCATGAGGTTCAGCGCCAACAGCCGAACGCGCTATCCATCACGCGATTGCAATTTCAAAGCTGCTTAATAGCAAACAAGTATAAGAATGGGAGATGCTCGGAGGGTCGGAAGACAAATGCCAAGACCGCGCAAGTTCCCGGGCCTCGATCTAATCGCGTGCTAATCGCCCACGTTAGCTGTCCTTTTGGCTTCTTCTCTTCTTTTCCTCATCCATCATGTCGGAACAGAGGCCACGCAGACAGGAGGAGTCCAACGTATGTGTCGCTGGCTTAGTGTTGTTGTGTTGAATTCACTGACCCCCTTTAGTCGGGCTTCAAAGGTGCCCTTCAGGGTCTTGCAGTCTTCTTGGTGGCCCAGTTTGCCATCAACCAGTACATGGGAAGTAAGGACAAGGCCGACACCCCCAGCGTGAATTCTGGTGGCATCCCCGCTTTTGCCGATCGCCCCGATCCCAGTGAAATCGCCGAGCGCAGTGCTCTCCCCGAGGTCATCGCCCCGATCTGGCCCTCCGACAGCGCTGTCGATATCAGTGTTTATGTAACCCCCTCTATCATTGTGCCCAACTTCAAGTCGCCGGACGGTGTTCTTGTGGTGGACGAGAAGAACTTCACCATTGGAAACTACAGCGATACTCGCGAAATCGACACCACCATCAAGGTCCCAAAGCAGGTCCAACAGAATGGAACTCTATGGGCTCACTTCTTTTTGGCTCGCACCGGATACCCGTTAGACCCCGCCGCTAAGGACTACAACACTGCTGATGCAGTCCATTTCCTTCGACCTTTGAACCAGTACCTTCCCAAGAAGAAGGTCAAGAAGCTGAAGAACCTTCTGTCGGGCCCCGAGGATGAGCAAGACCAGGAGGAAGATAACACCCCGGAAATTTCAACTATGTCATACTACCACCCCAACTTCACCCTGTCCCTGATCCCAGACTCCGGAACTCAGAAATTGGCGCAGATGAACCCCGCAGTTCGCCAGTATGTGCAGCTGGAGCGGACCGGTGCCCGCGATGCCAGTGGAAAGAATGGATGGTACTACCCGATCGCTTTCGTCAACACTTTTTGGCAACTGAAGACCCACATGACTGAGTTGAACTCTACCGTTGAGACCGTGCCGTTGCATATCACTCTCAACAACATGGCGAACTGGAAGTTCAACATCCTTAGCAGTGTTGATGAAGGCTCGAAGCAAAGTTCTCGCCAGGCTGCCTACGGCAAGCCTCCTCCCGGTGGTGGAGATGGAACCGAGTGGGAGATGGTGAAGGAGATTCTCTTGGATACGAACATTTGGCTTCTCTGCACCACGGGTGTGGTCACTGTCCTCCACATGTTGTTTGAGACTTTGGCCTTCAAGAACGATATTGTAAGTGGTATCTCACCATTAAAAAGTATGGTGTATAGTATCGCTAATATTCTCACTTTCTAGGCCCACTGGCGCAAGAAGAAGGACGTTGTTGGTACTTCAGTTCGGACAATCTTGGCCAACGTCTTCATGCAGGCTGTTATCTTCCTCTACCTCATGGACAACAGTGATAACACCTCTTGGATGATTCTGGCTAGTCAAGGATTTGGTATTCTTCTGGAATTCTGGAAGATCACCAAGACCGTCGACGTTCGTTTGCGCCCGCCGCCAGCTAGCTCTAAGTTGTCGTTCTTGCCTTATGTGATTGTGTTTGAGGACAAGCACAAGCTTAGCGAGACCGAGGAAAAGACCAAGGAGTACGATGAGATTGCCTTCCGCTACCTGTACATTTTGGCTGTTCCCCTTCTGCTCGCATACGCCGCGTACAGCTTGGTCTACAACACCCACAAGTCATGGTACTCTTACGTTATCCAGACCCTGGTGGGTAGTGTCTACGCCTACGGCTTCCTCATGATGGTCCCCAGTCTCTACATCAACTACCGGTTGAAGTCTGTTGCCCACATGCCCGGAAAGGCGTTAACCTACAAGTTCCTGAACACCTTCATCGACGATCTCTTCGCTTTCACCGTCAAGATGCCTTGGCTCCACCGCCTGGCTACTCTCCGCGACGATGTCATCTTCTTCGTCTGGCTCTATCAGGGCTGGAAGTACAAGGTTGACTACAAGCGCGTCAACGAGTTCGGCCAGGGAGGTGATAGTGATGAGGAGGAAGAACCTACTCCTGCTATTGAAGGGGACAAGAAGGAGGAAGTGGCTACCCAATCCTCTTCCAAGGCTACCTCCAAGTCATCTACCCGCAAAAGGAAATGAACACCGGTTTAGATGTGGGCCTCATCGGCCTATAAGCCGATGAACCTGTGATAACCGCCTTTGCATACGTAGTGAATCACTCGATTTCACTACTTTTGGCATGATGCTAGTGAGCATCGGATCATAATTATTACGATGTTAAAGCCAGCAATGTTTAATTCCGATTCTTTTAATTATTAGGATTCAAGAAAATCACTTTAGAGTTCCGAGCCTTACTTATCCAGTATCATGAAAGTAGACAAGACCAACCTTGAAAATAATATGATAGTATGATCAGACCAATAATGACAGACCAAGGTAGAAGCCGTTGTTGATGGTTACCCGATTGGGTTTAACGCCATTTTCGCATATCCGCGCCCACTCGTTCTTCTATGCGACTATCGTTAGATCTGCACCAAAAACATTCATTCCTTTGGTCACATTAGTTTTCTGAGACTCGGAATTGCATTCGAAAAAGCTTCCGAGTTGCGTCTTCAACAGGTGCAATTGAAGACGAAGCGCGGTATCGAGCAACTACGCGCTAATACCACCATCCCAAAGCAAACTACGCTATCATTCTTGTCAACACCCCTATTGCAGGAAAACTTTAGAATAAAATTCGGGTAGATGGATAGTGGTACAGGTAAGTCGTGTATGTATCCTTACAATTGAATAATGCTAACAATTCTTCAGGTAGCAACCAACCAAGCGGCCTGCTTGATGCGGTCGAGCACTTGGAAGCCGGTATGGCAAAAAAGCTCTCACAATTGAGATGGATGGTAAAACATGTTACTAATACGATCCGACAGTTGCATTCGTCCCGCCTAAACAGAGATATACAGATGCGAGTCTACTAGCCAAAACAATCGCTTCAAACGCGTACGAGAGCGGCATTCCGCAACCCGTGCTGGCCCGTCTCCTGAAGATTCTGACCACCAAAAATAACTTGGATCAGGGTACAGTTACAACGCTGATCAAGAACCTGTACCCCCAGGAGAGGATCGCGTCCAAGAATATCACTCAAGTGGTGTGCTGTCTTGGGCCTAGCAAGAACAAACCGAGCCCCGCCACGCAGGCTCTGCTATTGCGCTGGTTGATTCTTGCGTATGATCTTTTCGAAGATAGGACACATCTCGCCAAACTTTATGCTGTTCTTTTCAACTATTTGGATATGATTAGTTTGCGGAAACCACTGTGCCACCTTCTCTCGCTTCTCACAAGACGGAAACACGTCAAGCCATTCCGGATTCAAGCCTTGATGGAATTGATCCAGACTGCTGGCGGTGAAGACAAAGAGCTTATCAGCCTTCTGAGGATTTTCAAGAATTATTACCCTGAGATCATCCTCGGTGAATTTGGAGGATCGAGAAGGAATGCCCTCTTCTTCAAACACCCGGATCCCGAGTGGTCAAGCCATGTGAAGGTGCTTCAAGACCAAAATACAGAAAGAGTACAGGCGGGTCAGGAATCGAGTTTCCAGGTTGTTCATCGTGGGACTGTGAAAAGAAGTAGGATTGAAGTGGTTATTCCGACTTTACAAACTTCACGGGTATCTCATAAGCACACATCCCTGGAGGAGCTTCGCGACGTTGGCCATTTAGTCGACAGGCTTGACAAGATCGAATTACCTAACCAGATTATCTCAACTTTGGGCGATGCAATGGCTCAGAAGTATCTTCATCTGGTCCAATCTGAACTGGCACATCATCGTCTAAATGAATGGCTGAGAAGTTTCCTGGAGGACAAGTTGGAGACTCTACGTGAGGATGAAGATGATGAACCCGAGACATTATCATATGTGTTGGATTTTGTTGTGGGATATGTATCCTATACTAAGGTGAGTTTTTCGGATAGGTCACTGTCAACTCAGACACTGACAAAACATCAGGACCTCCCATCCTCGATACGTTCTTTTTTGAAGTCTTATCTCCAAACATGGAACGGCAAGGACAATCGTGACCACGTCTTCCGACTTCTCCAGTACATCCCAATCGAACCTTTCGCCTCGCTCCGGAGTGAATTATTATTACCATTGGAATCAGCTGTATTGAATGAGAGTCTTCGTTCCAGAACAGCGTTGCTGGGTTTCTATTCAGCGTTAATTAGCCAATGGGGCGTGAAACTTCGATCAGAGTCAGATACGTCAGAAGAATCAGTCCATCTGAGTCAAACCATCGTGCACGCCGAGCTCCTAGCATCTTCGATTCTAGAGTTCTCAATGGAGGATGAAGATAAAAAGTCCAAGCCAGCCACAGCCTCTGTGCTCGACTTCTACAGGACCCTTTCAGAACTCTTTTCTCACGCACCTCAAGATGCCCGGTTCCGCCTCACACTTCCGCATGCGCAAACTGTATACACACTCGCCTTCACACCCAGTGTCGCTGTGATCTCAAGCCTCAACTCCATCTTGGCCGTCTACAAATCCGCATTCGAGGCCTCTCTGAATTCACAAGTCCTCCAAGCACAGAACTCTCCGGCATATGGAACAAATCTTGTTGGTCGATTCAACGGGTATGTCATGGACATGTGCAATGTGCTATGGCGCAACCGTGCCCTTAATACCGAAGATCCGAATGCGCTAGGCTGCCTAGTCTCCGCACCGACTACCACTGCTTTGACAAGCTATATCAAGGACTTGTCCGAGGTGGCCAGACATTATGACCGCGAAAGTGCATTCCACATCAATCTTACATCGATATTCTCCCTCAGCCACCACGCTGCATTCTGCAATCTGTCGGCAGCTTGTTTTGCGGATCTGGAAGAGGACCAGCAGGTTGCAGATCACCGTCCAAAATTGAGAAAGCCAGTCACTCAGAAAGTGCTACAGGCACTGGAAAAGGATGGCGGTGCTAAGATTACATGGCAGGAGTACCGCGTGCATATGCTGGACTGGTTAGATGGGATTGGGTGCCGGGGTACTGGCATTCTGATGAGAAGCACAATGAAGGCTTTGCGCAAAGAGTAATAATAATAGTCGGGGGAGTGTTGATACTAGTCCTAGAAATGAAAGTTCCCGTAACGCCGTTTAAATGCTTGGTATCTGTATAATACATATTTGTACATACTGGGCCCTCTATGTGAGATAGTCTCGGCTTCAGATTGACCGCAGCATTGCGTCAAAGAGATCAGAACTTCTCCACCGAGTTCAGATATATATCTTGAACACTGGGGTCTTCCCGCAGAGCACTCAAGAGGTCCTCAAGATCTTTCACTTGTTCCTCGTCCTGTACCTCGACCATGGTATCCCTGTTGGGATCCCAGAAGATCTCCAATTCCTCGATACTGAGACCAGATAGTTTCGCAAATGTCTCGCCAACAGTTTTCGTCTCTGACGGATCGGTCAAGACCACGAGGCGACCCTTGTCATCGGTGGTGATATCCGCCGCTCCTGCTTCGATTGCCTGGTCCAAGTAGTCGTCTACATTTGCATCATCTTTCTTCTCCATAACAACCCTACCCTTCCTCTCAAAGAGGAATGTAGTCGGGGTGACGATTCCTCCTTTGTCTTTAATCATATAGCGAACGTCCTGTAGCACGCGCGCCTTCTGGTCCGTTTGACACTCCACAACCGCAGCCACTGAACCAGGCAGCATGGCCTCAATTGTTACGGATTCTAGTGCCTGGCCCGAGACACTAAGTCCTTGTCCGCGAGCAATTGCTGCTTCGATGATGATTTTCGGGATGGAGGCTCGTTTCGCATTCGACAGCGCGAGGGCTAGACGAGGATTGTACTTCGTGTCGGGTCCCCACACTAGAATAGAGTATTAGAATTTGAGATGTGCACAATTGGATGGTCATACGTACTCTGAGTTGCACTGGCAATCTCTTTTCCCATTATTTGGCGCTCCCTGCTCTTGGCCTTGTCGTTTTTGGCCTTGTCATGCTTAATTGTGGACCATTTGTTGTGACCGGAGAGGATGGCCGAGGAGGTGCTGAAATAGCGACACTCATGACAGGCAGAATCAACCCACCGGGGCTGCCGCAGCAGCCTGCTAAGCCTGAGAGCCATAATGCTTTTCCTTTGTCTATTGTAGATGACGATCTGATCTCTATTGAGATTCCCTCGGGCGGCTGTTTATCCGATCTCCGCGTGAGGCCACACGATAAGGAGTGAACATGGGGTTGACGCAACTACAGTGAACTAAATACTTCCCTTTTTTTTCTTTTTTCTTCCTTGCTTATGGGGCTACGCTCGCCCTGAATCTACCTAATGTCTGCCTCCGAAACAGCTCAAGCACCGTCCTCTCCACAAAATGGAGTCCCTGAGCTCGATATCCCTAAACTACACGCCCTCCCCTCCGAACAACAGGAACTGTACATGCTTACGTTCACCTCCGACCTCGTACAATACATATCTGGATTAGAAGCTGCAGAAGTTACATCGCAACAAAAGGATCTGAAAAAGGAATTGTTCAAGATATTGAACCTCCCTTCACCGACTATCACTCGAGTCCTCCGCAACAATCTAGGGCGATGTTTTGGCGCAATACTCAGCAAAGGGGATCGGGGAATCCTCTTCGGAACAATCACCGACCTGCTGGCTATTCTGAACGCTGGAAAGAATGAAGCCGAATTGAAGACCAAATTCGCTGCGGCGCATTGTCTAGGGGAGGTCTTTGCGACAGCCGGCGAGAGTGCGTTCATGCAGTCGAATGTTGCGATTTCAGCCGCACTGAAACTGCTCAAATCAGCAAGCAACCACACCGGTCTCAGGGGAGTTCTCTTTGCGGTGATGCGCAAGGTTGTTGCTGGAATTGGGGTTCCGATCGATGAAGGAACTGCCCGCGACATCTGGAAGCAGGCCCGAAACGCTGCTATCAGCGACAAGTCCACTTTCGTCCAAGTCAATGCATGCCGATGCCTGGAGCAGTTGGTTGCCACGACACCATTCTTCGATAATGCACATGACTTCGAACACCTCAAAACCCTTGTATGGAAGGTTATCGACAGCCCCGCTGCGCCGGTGCGGCACGCCATAGCTGCGGTTCTCGGTCGGGCACTGATTAATCTACATGCTAAGGATGCGCACATCACGGCCACCCCGAAACCGAAATCGAAGAAAGCGAAGCGCATGTCGAAGAAACCTGGTGTGGGGCTTGGAGATGAGGACGAGGCCGAGATGTCAGAGTCATCTGCCCCTAAAAAAACCGACTCGCGTCTGTACTTCCTTCTTCCGGACTTGTTGAGGCAGCTTTCGTCCCAGTACCTGAAGAGTACTACCACAAATCGCTCACGTGCTGGGATCTGTATGTGCTATAAATATGTTGTGCGTAATCTGGGTGACAAGGTTGTTGAAGAGCGCTATGGCCAGATTGCGAACAATTTGCTTGTCGAGTTGTTGAATCATCCAACCGTCACGTACAACCGTTTCCGCCTACTCATGACTAGGAGGTTCATCAAGAGTATCCTTGAAGATACTATTGGGCAGGAATTGTTGCGAGAGAACAGTCAGCTCAATGCCACAACATGGCTCATCAACGGTATCCTCAAGGACTACCCTCAGGTTATCCAGGAACGTCGTGAGCCCAGCAAGTACACACTAACGAGTGCGGTCAGCGCTTTGTCCTCGTTGATTTCATCGCTTGGTTCCGCCTTCAGTGCTCAGGCTGATAGTTGCCGAGATGCTCTGCTCCAAGTCCTTCCTCACCCTAGCTACACTGTTCAAGTCCATGTTGCGCATTGTCTGCGAAACTTCGTCCTGGCCTCTCCCCATCAGCTGCTGTCATGTGTGACAATCTGCATGAACAGTTTGAATAGGGAGATCGGACAGCTAGGCACACCGCGCCAATCGCCTCGCCGGTGTGTTGGCTATGCCAATGGATTATCTGCAATGCTCAGTACTTCTCGTTTACAACCATTGTATGGTGCAGTGGATGTGTTTGCACGTGTGTTTACGCAGGCAACCGATCTTCTCAAGACGAGCAGCACCTCCGAGCTTCGGGTCGCGAGCATTCAAATCCAGGTTGCCTGGATTCTGATTGGAGGTTTGATGCCTCTCGGACCTAGCTTCGTCAAGACCCATTTGTCTCAATTGATGCTTCTCTGGAAGAACGCACTTCCCAAACACCTCGGCAAGGAAAACGCTGCCCAGCCAGGTACTGTCGAGATCAGCTTCCTGACTCATGTGCGGGAGTGTGCACTGGGCTCGCTCCTGGTGTTCATGGAGTTTAACAGCAAATTGATCACATCGGATGGCGCGAAGAGAATCTCAGCCATGTTGCAAAATACCGTCGAATTTTTGGATAACTTGCCTAAGCCGAAGGCTATGGAAGATCTTTCACAAAGACTACACCCATCAATGCAATTGCAGGATTATTCAACTATGGTGCGTCGGCGTGTGTTGCAGTGTTTCACAAAGCTTGTGCATGTTCACCCACCTAGTCATGGGGACATCATCTCTCAGTCCAGTCTTCTCAGCCTGGCTATTTCCTCATTCGCAGACCCAGATGCTCAGTACAAGCAGCTAGAAAGCTCTATTTCAGGCTCCGCCGGACAATTCGATGGCCTATGGGATCTATGTGATAATTATGGATTTGGTGTCACCGGACTTTCTCGAGAATATATCCATGCTACACTGTCTGGCACCCAAGAAGACGACAAGAGCCCCGCCTGGTCTGCGCTTGATTCGGTGGACCAAGTTGTGGACGACACCCTAACTTTCCCTATTTGCCAAGCTAGTGAGCATGACGCAATTCTTCTATACAGTTTGCGAGATGGAGATAAGCTTGCTGTTGATCCCCCAACAACCGGGGTTGTCAACTCGGCAATCGATCTGTTCTCTGTGGCTCTCGCTCTTCACTCGTCCAAAATCCAGGAAAGCAGTGTCGAACAGATCGCTACATTCCTCACTTCTCCCGGCCTACAAAGAAACCCCGGCAGGAAAGCAGCATTGGTTGTCAACATCTCGGTCGCCCTTTTACATACTCTGAAAGTTGCTGTTAAGGAGACAGACTTCGTGCCTGGCAAGCTAAACCCGTCCACTGATAAGATTTTGCAAGAGCTCCTCCAAAAGTTCGTCATAGATGCCGACCCAGTTGTTCGCACAATCGGCGTTGAAGCACTTGGACGACTTTGCGACAGTGCTGGAAATGCGTGCACCAATACACAGGTTAATTGGCTCGTTGATACTATTGTCGAGAACAGAGAGCCTAACGCTAGAGCTGGCTGTGCTGCGGCCTTGGGATGCATCCATGCTCAAATTGGTGGAATGGCAGCTGGTTTGCACCTCAAAACAATTGTTGGTGTTTTAATGTCTCTGTGCAATGACCCTCACCCTGTTGTCCATTTCTGGGCTCTTGGAGGCCTGGAGAGAGTCGCCAACTCTGCTGGTTTGACATTCTCGCCTTTTGTCTCCGGTTCTTTGGGAATGCTTGCTCAACTCTACAACGCTGACACTCACAACGAAGAGGCAGCCGCGTTGGCGACCTCCAACATTGAAATGTCATTCTTGACACCTGTCGTGATCAGTCGATGCGTAGACTCTCTCATCAATGTCCTCGGGCCTGACTTGCAAGACATTGCGAAGACTCGAAACCTCATTTTGACACTGCTTCGCCAATTCCAGTTGGAGGAAAACCCAGCATTGGTGACGGAAAGCTCGAAATGTTTGGACCACTTCTCGATGTATGCGTCTAGTTACGTCGACATTGCGGCATACGTGAAGCGACTTCAGACCGAGCTTCGAGCAAGCAACTTCCTCATGCGAGATGTTGCAGTCCGTGGACTCAACAATCTCATGAAACGAGATGCATCGTCTGTCGTGCAGACGGTGGGTCAGTCTTTAGAAGATGACATCTGGCTCGCATTCGATGAAGCGCCGAACAATAAGTCGCTCAAGTCAATGATCCAGGACTGGCTACAACAGACTGCTTTGACAGAAACCGAGCTATGGATCCAACGTTGTCAAAATATTATGACGAAGACACGCCACAAGGTGGAACCTGTGCCTACCACGGCTGTTCAAAATACAGCTGCCGATATCCCCGATGACGAGGTTGCCGGTTTTGCCTCGGCTGCTGGGGAAGGACAAGGCGACGCTGCGAATGAAAGCATCTCCGGCCAAGAATTGTTAAAATGGCAGACCCGCAACTTTGCCATGAGCTGTCTCTCCGAACTTCTGGCTACTGTCCAAGAGGCGATTCTCCCAGACTCTGCTATCCCGGCGGAGTTGGCTCTTCAGAAAAACGTTGGAGATATTGTCAGAATGGCCTTTTCGGCGTCTACCGCCAATGTCATTGAGCTGCGCGTATGGGGATTAAAGATCATCGACCAGGTTCTTACCATGTTTGGCAAAACACCGGATCCTGACTTTGCTGAAGCATCGCTCCTCGAGCAGTATCAAGCCCAGATTGGGTCTGCACTTACTCCTGCCTTTGCTGCTGATTCCTCCGCGGAGCTGGCCTCAGAAGCTATTAATGTGTCTGCGACTTTCATTGCCACAGGAATCGTAACAAATGTCGACCGCATGGGCAGAATCCTGAAGCTTTTGGTGCTGGGCTTGGAGAACTTCGCGAAGAACCCGGAGACTACTGAAATCGGTGATCTCAAGGGCCTAAACTCAAATGCTCGAGTTATGGTAAAACTCGCTCTGTTCTCGGCCTGGGCCCGGCTCCAGATCGCAAGCATCGACCAAGAGTACTTGACCCAGGTGGTCCAACCTTATATTGCTAAACTCACACCTCTGTGGCTTTCTTCTCTTCAAGAATATGCTCGATTGCGCTTTGAGCCAGACATCTCCGGTAGCTTGGGGACAATCTCGAGCGGTGATTTGGATGAGGTGTATGCCGCGTTGAATCGTGAGACTTTGTTGAAGGTAAGTCCTGAAATGCCTATTTTATCTGGCGGAAGCTAATCATACTTTCAGTTTTACCAAGACACGTGGTTATACTTGGTTGATGCGATTGCTGGGCTTGTCGAGAAAGATATTGACTTTGTTTTCGATGCTTTGGATGGCAAGTTGCAGCTACCCGAGGAGCCTAGTGGTGCCGAAGGCGCCGAGGGCGAGGAGAAACAAGAAAAAGCCAT